ATCTATAGACAATAATATACTACCATCAGTGTTGCTGTGCTCAGTGAAGCGCTTAATCGGATAAGATAATCGGTTAATCCTCGCACAAAGTCACACAACAACATCCTTATCTGTGGAATACTCAGTCCATGACGGAGTTCTTATTATTTAAGTTAATTTATTAATACAAATTAGTACAAATGTCGACGAGCCCGTACCAAATCCTGCGAGTTCTGTAATTTATTTCATAACTGTTAGCTGCCGAAAACTGCACTCAGCTGAACAAATGGGTAATATTGTCCATATATTGATACACTTTTTTGCGCGTAGCACCAATACGTTCATTTGCCGGGCCAAACTGGGTCAGGAGGACTCACACAGGAGACAGAAGTGCGTCGTTATTTGGACAAATTACATTCATTTCTCTCAATGTACAAAGGCAAGCGCTTGCGCTTCACTGCTGTCAAATCCGTACACAGATCATCAGCTAACCCAGTTTATTAAACTAATGGACGAAGAAAATTCTCACCTAACATTTAAAAAGATAATTTTTACGTATTATTTTGTTTAATTTTCCACGATAGTCATCCGTTTTAATGAGAGGAAATTTGTAATCGTTAGCACTCATTGGTAACCATTTAGGGAGAATTCTACGAGAGGATGAGGCAGTAAAATTAATTAAAATTATTAATACTTCCATTAATAAGAGCAGAATTGGGTTCGGGCTCGATGTCATCCTAATGCTACAAGTAGAGGAATAGAAGACCTTTGCTTATCACCAGAGGCGCGTGTGTGATTCAGAGCTTCATGCTGCTATCCTTAATTCCATGAAATTCCGGTTATAAGTTCAAGAGACATCTTTAAATTTCCTAGCTTTCAGTACTAACATTACGACAAAATTTAAAAAATAAAACGCGTATGGTTCCTGTAAAGAGAGAAATTACTACATATAAATAATGTTGATAATATCCCTGCTCTATTAATAAGTCAATGTCAGATTTGTAAATTAGAATAGATCATGAAAATTTCTCGGATGAAAAATATTTTGTTCAATTGAGTCTTGGAATGTTATATACGAATGTTATGTCCCGAAAACTTGGAGTTTAGTGACAACATACAATGGAAATAATTCTTTGAATTTACATGGCTTTCACTCGGAAGGTGAAACTGACTCTTGATTTGTGGCAATTTAAATTTTGTTTTGTGTCAATGGACTAAAAATATTAAAATTAAAAGGCGAGAAAAACTATCACGACTAAATTTTCTACTTAGCAACGCCTGACAAGATGATAGTTTTAATTGTCGTAATATCTCGATTACTGATTTTTGAAATCTTCATTCTTGTTTTTAATTTATCGGTGTTTATCCATGAAAATTTTTTCAAATTTTAATTATCCACGCAGAAAATGTAAGTTTTTTCCAAAATGACGCAATAAATGTGAACATTGATGCATAGTAATTATTCTCAAATCAAAGAAAACAAAAATTTATTTTCTTTAGTTATTAACAACACTTACACTTAAATAAACTATACTTACCAACAAATATCATAAGAGTTGCGGGCTCAAAAGTTTCAATGATCAAAAATATTTTCTCGAACATATATCCTGACTGCTTAGAAGAACCAACGAATGAAATTTTCGATACATATGAATTTCTTCTAATTAATTCACATATTTCTTACATTAAAAGATAAATGCCGTGATGCGTTTCTGGCCTAGGACCAAACGACTTGAAATTCGTGCAGAAATACTGATGGTTTTGTTGACTTGAAAATTGACACTAAGTATTAAACTTCAAAGGAGCTCGTGCTTCAAGACGAGCCCTATCAATGCAAAAAAGAACATTTCCGAATTTGAATGACCTTTCTTCATGCATTTTGGGTCATCGAAAAGCTCATTTAGTGTCAAGTTTGAGAGTTAGAGCGCCCAGTGCTAAGTAGTGTGCAAAGTTGCCATGTCGACCGCTTGCCACGACAAGTAGCTCTCGCAGAGTTGTTGGGCAAGTTACCCTCGTTAACTAAGAAGCCTCGGCATTATGCAGCCTCGGCATCATGCAGCTTCAGCATCATGGCCGTGATGCAGCCTCGACATCATGCAGCTTCAGCATCATGGCCGTGATGCAGCCTCGACATCATGCAGCTTCAGCATCATGGCCGTGATGCAGCCTCGACATCATGCAGCCTCGACATCATGTAGCTAAGGCATCGTGGCAGTGATGCAGCCTCGACATCATGCAGCTTCAGCATCATGGCCGTGATGCAGCCTCGACATCATGTAGCTAAGGCATCGTGGCCGTGATGCAGCCTCGACATCATGCAGCTTCGGCATCATCGAAATAATGCAGCCATCATGCAGCCTTGGCATCATGGAGGGCACGCAGCCTCGACATAATGCGCGACATGGAAGGACATACGCAAGAAAGAGATTCATTTTGTAACGTAAATCACAAAAATTAAATTTTTGGATCGAAAATAGCACTCACTATCTCATGTCGATTATAAATTATTTTCCGAAATGGACCTTCGACTTTACTTCCATTTAGAATTCAATGTTTATTGTATGAATGTCATTGCCTCTGGAATTCATTGACAAAATATAAAACATTTGGATTTGGAATAGAAAATTCGGCGAAATATCTGTTGCAAAAAATTGTCAATCCTTTCACTATCATAAAATTAAATGAAATTGATCCGTAACATTTTCGAATTTACAAAGTTTTTGAACAGAAATTAAAGTTTTTGCACTTTTGTTTTTGTCAACTTGTGATCTGCCAAAAAAATGTCATTCATTGCAATATATAACGTTCTTTTGGATTCTTTTCTCAATTCAGATTAATAATTCTACGTGTATGATGCACGTCTAAGAAACCTGAAGCAAATCGATAAATAAATAACGTTTGCTTATTAATATACATAGAATCATATTACAAGAGCACACCCACATAATAAAGCATTTAACGTACATGAAACTTGAAATCTTCGATCGAAGTAAAGTGCCAGACATTTCTCACCTCAGAAGTACTCGTAAGCGCACCAGAATATTCGACCATTATTGTGACATGATAAAGGCATATAGCATTTCTCTCAGGCTACGGTATCTTATTATCTATAGTAGATTTATAAAAAATGGCTTGATAAAAATAGTACTTTACCTGATGAGATGGAAAACACTAAAGTGGGAACGATCCCTTACAGAGATAATTTATAAAGGAATATTGGATCATTTTTTTCATTCCTATACATATGATAGAAGCTATCCCATGCGCAATGCAAAGTTGGGTATTCTGAAACTAAAATAAATTCAATAATATATCCGCTACGGTAACAAAAATAATAACTAGCACACTTTAAAAGTCTTTAACGCATTCATATTTGTAAATCATGATATGCTAAACTGTTCGTGCTTCTAAGCCATGTACGCGATCAAACTACAGCGCTACCAAGCAAACCTGCTCAAGAATCGCGACTCCATTTCCGCAAACCTAGCGATGAGCGGATTCAGGAGCCGACGATTTGTTTCAATAGAAGAGAATGCATTTGAGTGACGATAAAACACGGAGTAATGTACACTTAAGTTATTTCTTCATCAATTATGCCAAATTAATTTCTTAATATTCACACATTTATTTACACACCCACCTATCACCGCTGAAATAAGTAATTGTAAAGTTGAAACTATAGATAAATTGTTTACAGAAAAACTTGTATAGGAGCGGATGTTGTATCAAAACTTTTCCAGCTGGCTGCCAAACTCAAAATATAAGAATCCAGGCTTCCTGTTTTTGAATCGTAAATGAAGATCTTATATCCCTTAGGTGTCAGGTTTTTTAAAAATTTTAGAATAAAAACTGAGCTCCAAACGAATTTTAATTCCTTTTCTAAACTATTCATTTTAATAGAAGATATTTAAAATTTTTTTGACAATAATATGCTATAAAGTGAGCCGTCTATGCTATATCATAATAAATAAGATAGCGTCTACAAACTAAGTGTAATAAAAATATATATGTATAGGAATTGTAAATAAACTAAATATATTTGTTGTTTAAAACTGACATGACAAAACGACGAGGAGGCTATTACTAAATGCAATCATACGGAAAATTTGGAAATGATTTCCGATGAGGCTTAGAAGAAGAGACTTGTGATTGTTCTTCCCAAATCATATGCTTTTGCGACAAAAATAAATTGACCTTCATAATGTTTACCTTTTATAACGTTCCAACAACAATTAAACTGGAACGCATCCTTTAAACCACTTACCAGTTTATGAACTTCCAACTCAGTTACATCAACCCTGAGGACAGGCAGAGATTCCTGCAACATAGCAATCGACGCCAATGGTAAGACGTTAAAAATCCATGCACATTTGAAGACATCCTAAACTAAAGTACAATCAGAGCTGGGCAGCGCTACTTGGAAATGTAGCGGCGCTACCGCTACCGCTACATGCTCTAAATGTAGCGGGCGCTACCGCTACCGCTACATCCACCAGATTGTAACGGGCGCTACCGCTACCGCTACAGTAAAATGTAGCGCGCTACATTAGCCGCTACAATGGCAAAAATTATTGGAAATCTCTAAATATTTATTGATCTGCTATTGGGATTTACTCATTAACATTTAACGATAATAAACATTTTTATAACATATCATTATGATATCAATGCAACTTTATTGCAATTAACCTAACCGAACTAGTATGGACTATGGGTTACCCCAGGATTAGATACAGTAAATAGAAGTTACAGTTATTTTTATGTTTTACCTTCCCTACATGGATGGCTAGGGTAGCCGGTACCCTTAAGTAAAATCTAAAGGCTTTATCTATAAATGTAGCGGTAGCGCTGTAGCGGCAAAACCTCGTATCGCTACTTAAATATGTAGCGGGCGCTACCGCTACCGCTACATTACCTTAAATGTAGAGCCGCTACCGCTACCGCTACTGAAAATGTAGCGGCCGCTAGTAGCGGCCGCTACATGTAGCGCGCTACTGCCCACCTCTGAGTACAATGCGAATGCGACGCCACTCCCAACAGACAGGCATCTATCGTGAAGTTAAACGTTTTTTCGCTTCAATCAACGTTCATCAAATGTTGTTGCAAAGTTATTTGCCTAGTGGGTCAGTTCTTCAGTTCACTATTGTTTACACTTGAGAGCGCAGTCCATTTCAGACGAAGGCTGAGATGATAACTGCACTCAGAACTGTCACGCAAACTGTCCGCAATGACTGCATAGTTGACGCTGTGCTCGCTGACTGTCCATCCGCTACTTCTGTGCATTAGGAAAAAGAGTTTGTATTAATTCATTACTTCATCCAAATAATAAGCGGCGGATGTGTAGAAAAATATTCATTTCTTGGTTGTAATTTTAAAATTATTTCAAGCTGATGATTGATTTCAATGAATAATTAGATCAGTTCAATAAGTGTCCCACATGCCGGGTTAAAAATAACGAAAGACACACATGTTTTCCACTGATAATGCGTAACTTCAACACAAACATCCACCTAGTGCCAGGTTATGAGTTCAAAATTGCAATGCAAATTCATGTTGACGAATGTAATTTTTAACCCCTTCAATAATACTTAAAATTCCACTAGAAATCCAATACCTTTACGAGTATGGAACTGGAAAACTGGCGAGGGCGGGGACCAGCCGAACTTGTTCTCGACCGCCACGGTGGCCTGGTAGTCGGTGGCAGGGTCCAGGTTGGGGATGGCGTGACCCATGACCTGGACCCGGTTGCTGGAGCGCGGCTGGTTGTGGCGAGGTCGCTGGGGCTTCGCGGTGTACAACGAGTCTTTCCATGCACTCTTGTTGCGTGATTCTCCTCGCTAGTTCAGGAAAAATAATATTATTTTAATGATATTTCATTGTAAATAATAGCTGCTATAAACTGCTACGGGAATGGGTGATTCTATGAGCTATTTCAGAGGCTAGTCAATTCGCTGTCATTTGCGAAGAAAATTTGCTCCAAAGAAATTTTTAATTTATTACTAAACAATAAAATTCGCGGCACGGCACCAATTTTTGAAAGGTTCGCATAGAATCCAAGCATTGATGACTGCATGAATGCAACTAATTAACATCCAAATAGTTACAGTGTGATAACAGTGGTTCCCATGCAGTTACCACACCGTAACAGTGATAATCAGTTACCACACCGTAACAGTGGTAATCAGTTGCCACACCGTAACAGTGGTAATGAGTTACCACACAGTGAATGGTAATAACATGAGCATAGAATCGTCGTGTTGCATATTAAACAAACAGGACATACGTAAAAAATCAATCACGTCCGTGGATTTTTTGTTGATATTTACGACTTTTCATGTCTTTGGGAATCGCCCTTGTCAACTGTTCTACTGACAATGTTTATTATTAATGATAAATCTGATATAATTTAGGATAATAGTGTTTTTGAGACCAAACTTCTACAAAAAACCGAATTAGCTTGAAGAAGGTTTGAGTTATACCAAGTAAAACGTGTCATCTATATAAATCTATTTGCCAGCACCATCATGAAGCCATCTCTCGACCAGGACGAAATTATGCTAGTGGCTAATAAGACAGAATGACGTTGTTTATTTAATAATAATATTTTTCTTTCGGTGTTCAATTTTTAAAACTTTTTCGCTGCTTTAACGGCAACTAGTGCAACACAAATATGCTCAAAAAAACACAATCATCCAGATATACACGTCAAATTACTCAGGTTTTCCCAAACTTCATGTCATGAATCAAATTGTATGATATCATTATCATATGGATATAATAATAAAATATTGTCACTAACACACCAGTAAAAACAAGTCGCAAAAAAGGCCATTGATTTTGCAAGAAGTCTTTAAACGGGCAAAGAACTCCGTTTTTACATTTACGTTGGTTCCATACAATGCTGTTCTCGCAGTAACGCTATGCAAAGATTACCGACGTCAAGATAGAGAGACAACTTCATGTCTAATCACCAATTAAAATCAAGCAACGATTCTCTTAAGTTCTTTTTAGTTTCTGGTTCATTCTTTGCAGACATTCACCGAAGCCATACGAGTGAAGGTCTCAAAGAAGATAAAAACGTCGACGAAGAGCAAAAATCGAAAATTTTTTATCCGGGTGCAATGACGGGACGCCATTTTAAGAGGCGTAAAGTCTCGCATTATACGTAATGAAATGTTTCATGAACATAAGTTTTTTTTATTAAGGAAGGCTTACGTTCAACCAATTGTCACACTGTTCAACCAATTGATCATCGCTTACACCTAAATTTTGGCTATTCTCTGTTTAAAAAACTATATTTTTATTTGAGTATCAGATCATGTATCAGAAATTATTATTATTCAAGAATAATAATTTGAAAATAATTATATTATTATTATTATTATTAATATTATTATTAATATTATTATTCATTATTATTATTATTATTCATTATTGATAATTATAATTCGATTTTTTTTGTATACAAACTTCGTTTCATAATCATGAAATAAGAAGAAGAAATTGGAAGTTACAAGTAGGGCGTGGCGTGATCAGTATTATTTAAAACTTCATTGTTTGCGTTGCCGGTGTCCGCGCCGCTAGTCCAAACTGTTCAAATAGTGACAGAATTGTTTGACTACCCTCAGTAGGTGCGGACATAGCATAGCTATGCCGTAGCATAGCTATGGACGTAGCATAACTATGTCCAAACTGGGTCTCATGCCCCACACAGGAGGAAAGAGTGCATCGATATTGGAAGAAACTCTCCCCCCCAGAGTTTACAGAACTGGACACTGTACTGGACGATGGGGGACAACCTAAGCATTACTCACTCCCACTTTACGGAACTGGACCCTGTACTGGACGACGGTGGACAACATCAGCATTACTCACCCCCACTTTACGGAACTGGACCCTGTACTGGACGATAGTTGACAACATTAGCATTACTCACCCCCACTTTACGGAACTGGACCCTGTACTGGACGATGGTGGACCACATCAGCATTACTCACCCCCAGTTTAAGGAACTGGACCCTGTACTGGACGATGGTGGACAACATTAGCATTACTCACCCCCAGTTTAAGGAACTGGACCCTGTACTGGACGATGGTGGACAACATTAGCATTACTCACCCCCACTTTACGGAACTGGACCCTGTACTGGACGATGGTGGACAACATTAACATTACTCACCCCCACTTTACGGAACTGGACCCTGTACTGGACGATGGTGGACAACATTAGCATTACTCACCCCCACTTTACGGAACTGGACCCTGTACTGGACGATGGTGGACAACATTAGCATTAATTAACCCCAACTTTACGGAACTGGACCCTGTACTGGACGATGGTGGACAACATTAGCATTACACACCCCCACTTTACGGAACTGGACCCTGTACTGGACGATGGTGGACAACATCAGCATTACTCACCCCAACTTTACGGAACTGGACCCTGTACTGGACGATGGGGGAGAAGCTTTCAGTCTCCCAGGTGAGGGTGTATGTTTCCTTCTCCCCACCAGCGGGGCTGCTCGTCATTTTTGGAACTTTCGGGAGTCCTGGCGGGAAGGAATAGGAAGTGTCTTTAACAAGGTCAAAGTTACAAGAAACAGGATTTTTAAACTCACGTTTCTACTTTTGGGAAACAAAATAAAAATTATTTTGAAACTCTAAATCAATTTCTATCCCTTGAATTTATTCCTTAAATGATTATTTTTGCGTTTTAGTAATTATTAATCTATTCTTCATTTACTCATTTGAAACGAGATTACTAACCTGCAAATTGCAACCTCGCAAAATAATCTGTGAATTTTCCTTGCCAATATTATTGATTGAGTATCATTATTATTATTAATAATATTATTATCCAAAGTATATTGTCAGTGAGTCCAAAGATATTTTCAGTTACACGTTAGGGGTTGAGAGCGTCATTAAAATATATTTTACCAAAAACCAATTTTGTAAGCGAGCTATTTCAAAACTATGATATATTCTCACTAAATCCAGCGCTCGCAGCATCGATACATTCAACAGCAGAATTAAGATCATTAGCTGTGCAGCAATTGACCACTAAGAATAATAGTTTGATATTATTTAAATTAGAAGCATCCGGCAGTTACTGACCATTAAAAGAATAGTCTGTTATTACTAAAATTAAAAGCATGCGGCAATTACTAACCCGTAAGAACAAAAGTTTTTTATCACTTGAATTAATTCATCAGGCAGTTACTGACCAGTAAGGACGACAGTTTGTTATTATTCAAAATAAATCATACGGCAATTGCTGACCAGGAGGAACGAAAGCTTGCTTATATTTAAATTAAATGCCTCAGGTAGTTGCTGATCTTTATAAAAAACAGTTCTTTATTACTAAAACTAAAAGCATACGGCAATTACTGACCAGTAAGAACAACAGTTTGCTCAGTGACGCCCTGACGGTTCTTTGCACTGCAAGTGTAGTCGCCGAAGTCATCGTCTTGCACGTCCCGGATGATGAGGCTGTGTCTGTGCTCGCCGTCATGAGTCATGAGATGCTTGTCTGAGGCGACGAGGTGGTCACCTCGTCTCCAGTGCACCGTCGGTGCAGGGTGGCCATGGACGATGCAGACGAGCTTGGCTTCGTCGCCGTTACCGGTGTGCAGGATAGACTGCAATATATGAATAATATAAATAATTAAAAATATACAAATGATGATTTTTGTATTTCAATCATTAAATACAGGTTTTTCTTGTCAGAGTATTGATTGAAAAATTAAGTGATGAAAAAAGTTATGGATTATTTTTTCCTAGAATTTTCGATAAATCCGTATAAGTTGAGTAAGGTTTATCATGTATTATATTAAAAAAATTACGGAAAATGTTCCGGTCGTAATCTCTGGTCTGTATTCGTGCGAGCTACTCACCTCTTCGGTCGTAATCTCCGGTCTGTACTCGTACTAACCTCTTCGGTCGTAATCTCCGGTCTGTACTCGTACTCACCTCTTCGGTCGTAATCTCCGGTCTGTACTCGTACTCACCTCTTCGGTCGTAATCTCCGGTCTGTACTCGTACTCACCTCTTCGGTCGTAATCTCCGGTCTGTACTCGACTTCGATGCGCATCTCGGCAGACGAAGGCTCGCCGATGCCGTTGGATGCCGTGCACACGTAGGTGCCAGCCTCCCGCCTGTCAATCTTCTCCAGCGTGATGCTCAAGCCCTGCGCAAATATTATCACCAATTCATAAATATTTTAATAAACAATATATATCTATAAAAATATACTCTATTTTATAAATCGGCATTTGAGGTTCTCTTTCTAAATTCTCATTAGTACAATGTGAACAAAAACGATCGGTGGCTTAATATTAGATAACAATTGATATCTTTAGAAAAAATTAATTTCATAATCGGGAAATTTGGAAGAATTTGTACAATAATAGTAAAAAAATTTGAGGAACTGAAGAAAATTCTGAATTAATATTAATCAAAAACAGCGTCTTTATATAGCACACTCACCTCTTCAGAGTGAGATCCCGACGGCAGTCGACCCCCGCGTCTGCTCCAGTGGATGGCAGGCTCAGGGTTGCCCTCAGCCTCGCACTGCAGCGTCACAGACTCACCCTTGACCGCGTGCTGCTTGTCGGGACTGATGCGCCGGATCTGGCGGTTAGAACAACAAACTTGGTTAATTTTATTGTTTAATTAACTTTGCAACAACTACTGTATATTCTGAATCATATGACATATAGTGTGAATTTTATTATTTAATTAACTTTGTAACAACTACTGCATATTCTGAATCATATGACATATATTGTTAATTTTAATATTTAATTTACTTTGGAACAACTACCGGATGTTTTAAATCATAAGATCTATATTGTGAATAATTTAACTTGTGTTCATTTAGAAACCAGGTAATCATTTCGAGATTAATCGGATTTTGCGGTTATAACGACAAACTTGGTTAATTTTATTACTTAAGTTACCTTTGCATTTACTACCGGATGTTTCAAATCATAGGACATATAGTGTGAATTTTATTATTTAATTAACTTTGCAACAACTACTGTATATTCTGAATCATATGACATATATTGTGAATTTTATGCTTTAATTAACTTTGTAATAACTACCGGATGTCTCTAATCATTGGACATATAGTGTAAATTTTAATATCTAATTAACTTTGGAACAACTACCGGATGTTTTAAATCATAGGACATATAATGGGAAATTTTATTATTTAATTAACTTTGAAACAACCACCAGATGTTTTAAATCATAGGACGTATAATGTGAATTTTATTATTTAATTAACTTTGCAACAACTACCGGATGTTTTAAATCACAAGACATAGTGTGAATCATATCACTGAGTTCATCCAGAATGCAGATAACAATTTTAAATGTAATTTTTTTCAATTTGAAATTAATTTCATAAACGAGAAACTAGACAACCAAGAAATACCAGATATTTTAAATTATGAGTCAGATAATATAGAGCATTTCATTTGATTATATTCGGAAATAATGTTGCCATTAATTAGTGATATAGTAATGTTCATTGAAGATGATCTATTCACAGGTGCAATGGATTAATAGGTCATATAAATTCACCATCTGCCAGTGTCGGGCTTCAACCATATGTAAATTAACTCTCACGTACCTATTTATAATAGATATAATTTGTTGAATTATATAAATTCATCACCCAAAACCTATATTTTTGCACGAACTACCGCAAAAATTAATCACCTAAAACATCACTAAATTCAATCAAAGTCGTAGTATTTACTTCACGCTTCTAATAATATGACGAATAATAATATACCCTCATTATCAGCAGCTCACGAAAGTCATTTATACTGAATTTATTGTACGTAAGTAATCATTACCATAACCATTAATTAAAAGAATTAGATGAATTAAAATAATCATTGCCATGGCAATTAAATAAAATAATTAAGTGAATTAAAATAATCATTAACACGAATTAGTTAAATAATCAATAACATGGCAATTAATTAAAATAATTAAATGAATTAAAACGATCATTACACGAATTCATTAAATCATCATAACAATAGCAATTAATTAAAATAATTAAATGAAATAAAATCATCATTACCATGAATTAATTAAAATCATAACCATGGCATATAATTAAAATAATTAAATGGACTAAAATAATAATTATCATTAATTAATAAAATTATCATCACCATGGCAGGGTATTGTACGCGTAGCACATGCACCACTTGCAAGGGCGGGTCGTAGAGCTTACAGGCGTACTGGCCGGCGTCCGACCGCTTGATGTTCGTCAGCGTGAAGCTGTGCTCGTCTTTACGCAGACGCCGATTTGCGCTGATCTGTGAAAGAAGCGTAAAAAAATATAACTCAGTACTCACTGCAGTGAGTGACAGAGAGCGCATTTTCTCGTCGACGAAAACTTGAGGTCACGGACAGACGGACGGACAGACGGACAGACAGACAGATGGACGGACGGACATGGCGAGCACAATAGTGCATTTTTTCCATAAATGAGAAAATGCGCTAAAAATTGAGGTACTGAGGGGAATTTTTCAACACCATCGCCTCACCATCACCTAAATGACAAAGTATCAGTCCTCATTGATACTTTCGTGATTTGTGAAGGGATCCTCAAACTCGTACTCAATACTAATTGAGGATTTATCGATCTTTTAGGTTTGTAAATATTTTTTTTTCTTTAGTTTAGATGCAACCTGCGTTAGATGCAGGTTGTCATTGAACGCATAATGAATTACTTCATCTAGAAACGAACTGGCTTCATTGATAGTGGACTAGCTTTAGGTTTATATAGGTGTGGATTGTATTGAATTCCTCTGCTGAATTAAACTAAATATAAAAATAGTAACGCGATGTCGTTACTAAAAAACTGTGTACAAGTTAACAATGATTTGACAGTTCAATTCAGTTGATTTGACATAGATCGATTGGCACACATAGATAGATGTTTGTTACCATTATTTGTAAAATTGTTTTGCAAGGACAATGCACAAGACTGAATAGAGATGCAATGCAAGTAATTACACCAAAGAAATTGTATAACAATTATCGAAATGAATCAGAACTCATTGCAAAATTGCTAGTGTGATAGTGCATATTCAGCCTGTGAACAATCACTGATGCACTGAATATTGAGTAGGATGAAGAATTAATGTGTTAATGCATCCTTCTTAAGTGTCAATGTTATGAAAATAGCGAGCACTCACGCGACTGGTGCCGGCGAAGTAAAGCTTCTCTTTGCTCGGGGCCGTGAAGGAATTAAATTGGAACACCATTTGCCTCTTGCCTGGGTTGGGAAAAAATTGGAATTTGTTAGGACGAAAGGTATTCCTATTGGAAAAGAAAAATAGTAACAATCAAAACGAGCAAGCCTATTTTATTTTGAACTGGAATAAGATACAAGATATTGCCATAAAAACCTTGCTTATTTGCACTAGAGCATACAAATTCGTAATTACATTTGTAATTCAAATTCAGTTTAAGGACACAAACTGTTTGCTATTGGAAATTTGTCGATGCAATTAAAAATGCAATCATCGCTCGCTTTCGATTTAAATAATATCATTACAGGTCATAATATTTCTATTGAACGTCTTGACTGAAAAAATTTCTCTTAATGTGCCAACCCTGAGCCTCTATCGATGCATCGAACGCTTGATGATGAAAGAAACATTACAGGCTCGAGCCTTCAAATGATGTTCATCGCAGGCGCGGTGTAAGCAGCAAATGCTTCGGTATCACAATATACGCAAAAATATCCCAGGTTCGCTCCTTTGAAGCGCGCTTTCTTCCGGATTGATGAAGCAAACGTAGACGAGATGCAAACAAAAGCACAACAACAAGGTGATTGCCAAAATAAATTATCACCACACACGAGACACGGCCTAGCAGGAGCTCGAACAGCTTCGTTGATCAAGTATTGGCAATGCCGAACAAATAAACATGGAGTTCTTCGCATGCCGCTGCAATTGTGAGTGGGTTATGTAAATGGCTTATTGTAAATAGGGTAGTGAGCTTTCAATACGCAGTAATTAATGTAATATACAATACGCAATATAATTTAATATACGTGGTATAAAGAAATAATGTTCAATACATCAATAATGTATCCATAAAACTAAAAGAACAACATAGTCATTCAATACATGAGCATGCATTGGCAAAAGATTAATGTGAATGTCATCGGCGTAGAGCAGATCTGAATAGTTATTATTGCAACATATAGATTCATACCACCAAAGTAATAGTACGACAATCAAGTTCATATACTTTGAGAAGACGAAAAATTCATTAATGTTGACAAATTACTATTTCGAATGAAATAAAAATAACTCAAGTTATTGAAATTTATTGTTCAATTAACGAAGTTCAGGTAAAGAACCCTCCTAATTCAGCCAATATTTCCAAGATGAAAACCCCCGTTGATGAAAGCCAATCTGCAAAACGGAAATAATTGTATCGCTTTATATCATATGAATGCGTTATGCGTAGTCAACCCACAGTATGCAAACCATCACAATTACACAATACATAAATCAAATAGACTGTAATTACGAAGTAGAACGTTGATCATAAAGTATTTAAGAACAGTAATTATGGAATCGCTACCAATTAAGGCGACCATAAAATATTTCCGGATAAATTGTGCCTCGTGATCCAAGCTTCATCGTGTAATTAATTCAATCCGAAGCATTATGCGCGTTTGACGTCGAGCGAAAACAGTTCTTATGTGTCGAAGAGAACTCAGGAATGCTGGCTTCGGGTTAATTCGATTTCTAAGAACGTAATGAGATCAGGCTTCGCAGCACTACGTAAGAGTGATTAAAATCGTCCTTGCAAATCTGTTGGGATATTGCGATATGATCATCTGACTGCACGGTTAATTTGGAACTGCTTAAGTATTCGAGTTAAAAAAATCGTATGCTTAAATTGAGCGTCTCGCTTTGAACAGCTGCCTATAAATTTAGTGTTTTTAAATTTCGTTCTTTAATTTTGGAAATTTTATAACATCTCTGACAAATAAATTTTTGTCTTCTCCAGAAAACTCTTTTCCCGCATTTGTTCTTCGGAGTCAAAATTTAATGCTTTTAATATTTAATTTCTCAAACGCCCTTATTATTTTTAGATAATTCACGTTATATTCTCGACATTCACTTTCATGTAAGTCTTTGCTGGATACGCCACCAAAATCGTTCTCATCATCATTCTCATCAATCATCGTTGTAAACATCATTTTTCTGATCATCATGATAACAGCAACCAAGGCATAGCACCCAGTAACCTTTAATCAAAATAATGCATAGAAATGACAAAAAAAAATTCCCCTGATGTCATCGTCATCATTATGCTAGTGGCTGGCCGCACATTTTCACCATTTTTGTGAAACATTTCACTTTTCATTTTGTACCTGATGAGAGCATCCGCACTTCCACCTAGTCAGTCCGTTGATGGTAAATCTCACTTACATGTAAAGATAATAAGGTAAGCTATACTTACTGTGGTCTTCGTTATTTGCTAAAGCCCTCACCAACATAGTCATCATTTTGTCCAAGCCACACCCTGCTACATCATCATAATGCATTAAGCCATACCGTAAAACATCATCATTTTGCTCCAAGCCTCACTTATGTATACTTTTGGCATATTGTGGCAAATGTCACTCGCACACAGGCCCTGTATATTCAAGAGCCATTATAAACTCAAGCACTATAAATCATTTTAAGCTCAAAAACCTACGCCGCACTGTGCTATGCAATCATTTTATAGTTTTGCTTAATGCCACACTTGCATCTAATGTCCGATTTGAGAGATGCCACAGAGCTTCAACATTTTCTCGAAATGCTCAGGCCCATCATCATGAATACTCATCATCATTGAGTCATCATCAAGGCTCTCATTGTCAAATGCTCCAAGAGCCTCAGGCAAAAGGTCACCGGTCCAAAGTTCTTGGCAGTTCATCAAGAATGCCTGGAATTTCATAAGGTAAACTAAGCCTCTAGATCGCCTTGAGTTTCGATGCCATTTGCCGTAAAGGCAACTCCAAAATGCTTGGCATAGCATCAAGATCTGGAGACGGCGCAATAATATGCTAGTGAATTATATTCGGGTTGAAATAGAAATAATTTTTTATGAGATTCGAATGTGTGAATGAGCGTTGAAATGTTGTATTTAAAAGACTTTTCAATTACCTGCGTAAAAATGAACAAATACTGTAACTGGGCAGTAAATATAAAACAATTAAACCCAGAATCAGAGACAAACGGACGATTTTCAGGAATTGTTACGAAATAGATCATAAAATATTTAGTAAATTTCTTGTAGTTATTACTATTTTCAACTAAACTAGAATGGACTTCAGTATATGGGTTTTACATTTACTCAGACTTGCCAAATCTTTTGTTCGCTCATTGTATTCTTGGATACCTTTACACTTCTTTGAATACATTCAACTATATAATTGCTCATGCTCGAGCTGGTATTGTCCAAAAATATAGATATATATTCCTTTGGCCAATTTTGTGGATCATCGATGTGAACAAAAAATATGAGTAACGTTAACGAAATGACTTCATTGTCGATCAATGACGTCTGGTAGAGGTGAATTATGGGCAATAATTTTTGCCAATATTCCATTGAACTGGTGACAACTTGCCAATTTGTGATCAAAGCATGATTTATTTTACCAATTTATTTAAGGAGTTCTGATTGTACGGCACTCAGAGAAATACATGACCAACCATTTATAAAATCAAAAGAATTCAAGGAAAGCAAAGGATAAATGCAGTACCGTGCTGAAAAAACACAACGAAATAGAATGGAGTTTGGTACCGATAATGGACCATTCGTATAAAAAATATTCGACTTGATACTTCATCCGATGCGTTGCCTCAAAATAATAACCTATGAGTTTTGATGTGTTTATACGGATGTTCTATACCATTAATGGTCATATTAGGTTGAATAATGAAATAAATAGAAAATACTTTGTTTTAATTTCATTTTGAGATAATTCCAGTAGAATCTTTGCACAAAAAGTTGAAAAATTGTCTTGATCGGAATGGTTTTATTGTTATTTCAATTTTCAAGCCCGTAGTGTATACCATATGTAGCAAATCGTCACCGAGATGTATTGCTGATACATACCTGAACTGCCTTGTAGTACAACCATCAGTTACCCTCTAATCAATTAACGAGCCTATACATTATATATAATTGATAAGGCACGTGCCTGTGGTTAATGGTCTATCATTAATGATGGAAGCACAATTTAGCTTGCACGCAATACGTGCGCGACAAAAAGAATTGATTAAAGAGACAATACGGGGTGTACCAACAGTTAAAATAATTGGGAACGGCATACAACGTACATATGGAATATAAAAAAATGTCAATATGCCTTTAACCTTTGAGATATTTTTTGTAAAAATCACTGCAATTTGGCTTAATTTTATCACAGTTTTAGTAATAATTTAAATCAGGTTTTTTAATATAAAAATTGGGTACACTGACCGAGGTGCTGGACGTGGCATGGGAAGGTGATCTCACCCCCGACCTCGACGCTGAACTCCTCAGGCACAGACAGGAACTGAGGAGGCTCAGTGTCGGAGAGGTCAGCTGCGTAGTCTTCATACTCGTCGTCCTTCTGAGCTGCCGCCGCTGCTGGAACAATGAAGAAAAAATCAATTAATATTTTGGATTTTACATAATTGTTTCAATAAAATAATGCCAAGCAGTCTGCATTTTCATCTTTTTGAGCTCCCGCCGCTGCGGGAACAATGAAGAAAAAATCAATTAAGATTTTAGATTTTACATAATTGTTTCATTAAAATAATGCCAAGCAGTCTGCATTTTCATCTTTTTGAGCTCCCGCCGCTGCGGGAAGAATGAAGACAAAACCAATTAAGATTTGGGGTTTTACATAATTATTTTGTTAAAATAATGCTGCGTAGTCTGCGTTTTCATCTTTTCGAGCTCCCGCCGCTGCGGGAAGAAAGAAGAAAAATCAATTAAGATTTTGCGTTTTACATAATTATTTTATTAAAATATTGCTACGTAGTCTGCTATTTCTTCTTTTTGAGCTCCCGCCACTGCGGATATAATAACAAATAAACCAATTAAATGACGTCTGCGTGGTGACCTCATTGAAGGATACTTGAATAATCGTGATTTATACAAGGTCCCAGATGGATTACTCGAATATAAAAAACCAACACCAGGGGCCACGGCAGAAAACCAAAAAAAATTGCGTTGCAACTCATCCACGCGACAACATTTCTTCTCGCTTCGAGTCACCGACATGTGGAACAGCCTCCCTGATGATATTGTTGACGCTCTGAGTATGAAAGCGTTCAAGAACAGACTAAACAATGCTATGCAGAGTGGTATGTTCAAACTTAAAATGCCTAGCACCCTATAGGGGCCTGGTTGAAGTCTAGTAGCTATTTGAAACTATCGTCAGTTTTGAAAAGATCCCGTCAAAGGACCTGTTTTTAGATCTCATTTGAACAAATCACGAAAATTAAATAAATCGGTCAGAGGAAAAATGTTAATCTATGTTTTAAGAAAATTCAAGGTTTACTTCAGAGCAGCATAATCTTCATTCTCGACATCTCGTCTTCTATCTGAGCTCTCGCCGTTATGGGATAAAAGAGGTAAAAGTAATAAAAAATTTTGTCTTTTGTGGGTTTTAAAGCCTCATAGACTTTAGAGCTACCGCCACTGTGAAAAAAATTAAGAGTAAAACCATTTAATAATTTTGCTAATTTTTATTTTATAAATGTAAAAATATTTTATATTTTTCATTTTATTATTATTTTTCATTTACATAATCAGTCAAAATTAATTAATTTTGTATTATCATGGTAGAACAAACATATTCGATATTAAACTGTTGAGTTTCTGAGTAATAAAGTATTCAATACTTTTGCTTCGGCGGTAAATATTATTCGTATTAAGCAAACTTGATTCATAAGAATGTCATTCACCTGTTCAATTACTTTCAAATGCAACCATGATTCCTTTTCAAATCAAAATATAAAAAGCACGCTCGCTTTTTGGCCGAAGAGTTCTTTCGAATCCGACAAGCATAAATGAAATTTTGTTTCTCAGAAAAAGAAAATGAATCGTAAAAAGTGACACGCTCCTAAGATTTAGCGACGCGCGTCAAATTAGCCGACGCGGCTGGATGAATCGCTCGCCCAGAAGCTCATTGCAATAAAAATTAAAGCGAGCATAACCTGATTATGCTAAACTCTTAATTTGCATGCTATCATAATTTCCCGAGGCTTTTATAGGAATTTATTCTTCACTCGAGGCCTGGCAGACTCTAGAGCAGCCATTGAGGGCCTCAGAAAGAGGTTTATCTAACACAGCTCGGGGAATACGCTGCTAATGACCCAAGTGGTGGCGTTAGCCGCATGCCCTCTCTACACCTACCAACAGAGGGCTCTTTGTCACTCCTGAGGATGGGCAGCTTTCATTCCCTCACTCCTAAACAGTCATTCCCTTCACTTCTCAGAGAGAACGATCAGCGCAACAATCACCCCTACAGCAGCACCGAATATGGAGCATTCAACATTTTACTTAAAAAATTCTAACAACCATGCCTGAAAACCCAATACATTATTCCCTTTAATAGTAGTTATCATTATCAGTAAAAGCTAACAGTATTCAATATCTTAGCGGAAATATCCCGTCCCACAATCTGCGTCGTAGAATTATGTTCGTTCCATCGTGTTCATTGGTGCAAGGTGAATTTCTTCAATTCATAAACGTTTTTTACGAGGCTGAAACCTAAGATTTAGGGACCACAAAACGGTTGTCCAAAAACGCGCAAAAAATGAGGAAGAGATATAAATTTTCCTCCGCGAACAAATCGTCCCTAAAATACTCCGATAAATAACGCTCCTGTTGAGTATTTTATGGCGTAATTTTGTTCTAAAATGAATATTTTTATCATAGTGGACGGAGACCAAGTTGCCTCAATAGAAGCATGCAACTTCAGCGTTTTGCTTCGCTCCGCCTCCTCGGCGAGAGGAAGTTCAATGTTCCATCGCATTAGGTTTGAATTTTTACGTTTCCTTAAGTGAGAGATAATGCAAGGCGCCGGCACGCGATTGCAAGATTAGGACGACACAAAATCTGCGTAAGTTGACTCCCCCTAAATAGAAGTTTAGTTGCAGGAACTCCATAAAAAGCAGGGAGTATTGAAGGAGAAATGCGAGAACACATGGAAAAAGTTTGCCGGAAAATTTAACGTGATATACACCATCCACCGATGATCTTATTACGATGATATTACGATGATGATCTTATTACGACTCAAGTATTCCAACACCTGCTCAAACATTAGTCCTAAAAAGCAAGGGGGATGGAAATAAGGGAAAATGCTATACATACCACATTTTCATTGTAGCTACCTTCAACCCTGAATTTTCAGAGGAAGGAAAAGTGAATGAATCCAATCACATTCAGAAGCTATTACACTCATCTTCAGCAGCAGCGACTTTCCTCATCTTCAGCAGCCACCTCCCTCATTTTAAGCAGCCACTTTCCTCATCTTCAGCAGTCATTCCCCTCATCTTCAGCAACCACTTCCCTCATCTTCAGCAGCCACTTTCATCATCTTTAGCAGCCACTTCCCCCATCTTCAGCAGTAACTTTCCTCATCTTCAGCATCCACTTCCCTCATCTTCAGCAGCCACTTCCCTCATCTTCAGCAGCCACTTCCCTCATCTTCAGCAGCCTACTCTTCCTCGTCATAAACTCATCGGCGCGCATCAAAAAAGCCGCGATTTCTTAGCGGGAACATCGCAGTTCTTACACGCTGGTTGGTTTTCCCATTACTGAATGCGCGCTATATTTGGCGGAAAATGGAAACACTGGTCGCGGGAATCCCTGCAACAGCTTTCACTTTCCACGCCCTTCGTATAGTGTACACTGTACATCAAAGCTAGCGTCATTTTTCAGCCCTCGTGTCATGATACTTGACAGGGGAAAAGATCGTTGGTAAAATATAACACCCATCGGTATTTAACGTTTGAGAAATTCATTGAGTCGCGTTAAATTCACGGTATTTTCAAGTGCAGTTATTTATATTTGAAATAAATCGTTCTCATAATTAAATTCCAACTCAATTACATTTTTAAAAATTGTCAAATTTGTTTTATGAGCGGGCGCAAAGCAAATTTATAGTTTTACTGATTATCCAGGGAATCACGGAAAAGTGGAAGCTAATTTAAAGTTTTAATTGACTTGTGATATTAATTAAAAGTTGGTGAGGTGTCCCGCCTCTACACAAACATGTGCAGGGGACAAAATATAGCCGGAAATTTATTTATGCCGGTTGAAATAGGATGGGCCTTTTCATTAATGGGAAGCAATCGCACTATGTTTTAAATAATAATTTTTCCCCCGACATCAGGTAACCCCTGAATGGAATGGGAGATTTTTTTCAAATGAAAGTGATTAAAAACGTTTGAAGATTTAAAATAGCTTGATGGCATGAAATTTCATGTGATGAAAATATAATTAAACCGCCGGATTTTTAACTAGAAATGTATTTTTATATAAATTTTATATCATTTTCAATATTCACCATTTGATTGGAAGCAATCGGATAGCAAATAGGGCAGGAAACAATTGAAAAAAAAAACATTTAGGGAAATAATGAGAAGCTTCTTTGCTTTAAAAATCAGCAACACTTTAAACGGATATCAAAAAATCGAGTGAGTATGAAATAACTTTTATCATTATATTTTTTTCTATTATTGAAACCCAGCACTTTTAAAACAGCACTTCTGTTTAATATAACTTTACATTACAAGCCAAAAAATTATGTCCCGTTAAAAAAATCCATATACTTTACGAGGTCAACAGAATTTCTTCAATGAAGCCATCGCTGACATCTTTTTACCGGATATTCAAAGAAACAAGTAATGCGAAAGTAAAAGTTTTGCAACACGAGTCAAATCCAGAGAAATTTCTGTAAGCCTGAACCAGTAAAAGTTTCAGCAGAGTTCGAGTTTTCCGTTTGCTTTGAAATTTGCATCCGCATAAAATCAAGCCACTTTTTCCAAATCAAACTAGGCCTGAATTTGCCGGGCCTAGTTTCCTTTGGGTCTTTCTTGAGCCGTCACTTTGAAGGAAACAACGTCAAGAGGTGCCCTGTTTTCTTGACGTTGGTCTTGCCTGTCAAGCAACAAATTGTTATTGAAGACAACTACAGCCGTGGCTGAGGGACAACTGAGAAAAATAGGAGCTTTACAAAATACGTCGCATGCAGACGAACGAAAAAAGGTCGAGGGTAAGCGAGGGTAAGATGGAGAACGCGTAGAAGTGGAGCTTCTTGCATTCTATTAGTCCACACATGAATGATTTTTTTATATATATTTTTATGATATTTCATACATCGAATCTAAGGAGACGCCGTAACCGTCGATCAACTTCAAATTAAATGCGACTGATTTCCGTGATGTAATCATAGCAGCTATCAGTTGATTATAACAGCTGAATCAGTGAAGAGATATGAATACCAAGATATGAATACAAATATTATTGTTCATGCTTAGGCATTAAATTGAAATGATTACCGAAAATGGAGAAAAAGGAAGTTTTATTGGATGTATTTACAAATTCCTCACGGACTCAACAGAACGAAA